CTGTACCACTACTGATAGATGATGCAGAAAGGCTGTCAGCATCTATAGAACCTGGACATCTGCCTTAGTCATTAACAGCAATAATATTAATAACAATATTTATCTATATTTTACAGTGGGGTGGGGAGGGCGCAGAAGAGCCTATTCCAGTGCTTAGGATATTCTTCAATTTCCCTGTAAAACACATCCATATGCTAATAACTAAATTGTGCTAAGAAAGCCAACTAAAAGAAACTTGCCCTAGCCAAGGCTCCCTGCTCTTTGCTTTCTGGAAAGCTGAAAACTGCTCAAAGTCACTTTAGCTCCCCCTTTTTGCTCCTGTATTCAGCTGCATTAAAATAAGTTCTGTTCAGTAGTGCTGGAAGCTACTTCCAAGGGTGAAACAGAGGCCACTGCTTTGTAAGAAGTTGCCTTAGTTTATGGCAGATATTTCTGAAGTTCTTGTTACTATTCAAAAGGTGGTGGTTATTTAATAGCCCGCTAATTCAATTATTCTCCAGTTTTGGTCTTTAAACTCCACACTGTGAATAAAAATGATAAAGAGAAACAGTTCAAACATGTTCCAGCATGGCTGCCACATTAAGACAGAGTCAATTGCAGGCATTAATCTTTAATTAACAGCATCAGAGGAACTATAATCTAGCAGCTAGAGTACTGGACTAGCTACAAAAAGGCTTCATTCTAATCCCAGATCAGCCACAGATTTGCTATGCACCTCCCATGAGAGGGGGAAGAGAAACACTCCTCTTAAGTTCTCCTTTTCCTTTATATCTCTTGTCTGCCTTACCATTTCTTTTTGTAGTAGCTGTAGCAGGGACACTCCCTGCATGAGCAAAACTCCACCGTGTCTCTGCAGCACTGGGTGAGCAGCCCAGCTGCTAATTGCAATTAACAGCATCATCTACAGAATCTGACCTATCCCAAGACGGTTGTGAATTTTTGGCATTTCTATAACTTCTCTATAAACCAAAGAGAGGCAGCTTGTACCAAGGAATAATAAAAGCACACAATTTGCTTCCGACAAGAACATTATGGTCCATCTTTGTGAAACCTTCCTTGCTCCCACAATTGCTATTCAAACCCCAGGCTGATGAGATATGAACTTGGCTTTTTTTCCAGTCATCCAGCTTTACCTATTGACTAGCCTCTCCAAAAATGGATATCTCCCAGTAAATGAGAGCATGATGCAACCAGAAGAGAGCTGATGTTTCTCTTTCATTAGGCTCTGTCACTTCTCTTTCAAGCTGCCTTAGATTAGCACAGGTTCTTGTCTCTCCTGCATTCCCTGAATTCTGCCTGTGCCAAGTCTCCCTGTTTTCCCCCTGCATCTCTGGAATCTGAGAAAGAAATTTCTCTTTCACATCCTTATCTGTAACTTTTGCCGGAGTCCCCTCATGCCAATATTCCTTTTCTCACACAACCATCAATGGTAGTACCATCACCATCATTAGTCTCCCACTCTTCCTAAAGGGATGCACACCTTAATGGGATATACACCTTTATTTCTCCAGAGAGGTTTCTGATTCAGGCAGCATTTGCAAACCAAAAAGGCAGATATGTTCTATTTAGAGTGATTCTATGCAACAGATGCTATCCAACTACCTCAGCTTTCGTCTTCCTCTGTCAACATGGAAGTTTGTCCTCCATTTGTTCTACGCCAACCAATCTATGAACACCCATAAACACTTAGTCAAAGACAGTGTGCCTGGAAAAGCACATGGTCTCTGCGGCCCATTTCCAGAGGGTTCTGCTACTCCCCAGTAACCTCTCAACAAAATTCCCTCTCCATCCACCAGCACGGAGGCAGGGCTGCACAGTTTACCACAGAGGCTGAGGTTAAAGCAGAGCAATTCCCTAGCTCTCAAGGAGTGGCTTATCACTGTCTGTCCACATTCCAGGACAAGAAAACCTCTACTTCTCACACAACCAGCTTGCCTCAGGCTTGTCTCTGCATTCAGATATTTGGCTCTCCTTCCCCATGCTAGATAAAACACTCCCCTGAGGCAAAATTTTTTAGTAAGCACTTAGTCGCCTTTGATCTCAGAAGCAGCTGGTGCACAGCTGCTCCCCATCACTTTTGCGGCTCTCAGGAACCTTTTGCATTTTCCTGTTCTCCCTAACAGGCAGGCACAAAGGGTAAGAACATCACCAGCAACCATTTTTCATTCTCAAGAGAAAAAACTTTTATTTTCACCTCACATGCCCTGGCCAATCCCTCCTTGAACTACTGCCCACCTGGCTCAGTCTCAGATCTTCTCTCCTAACAGGATCCCCAAACATCTGAGCAATGCCTGCCTATTCCTCTTCTCAGCAAGGCTCTCCTCCATGCTTGGGAGTCTCCTGGAGAGACACAGTACTCCATACAGATAGTAAAGGACAGACTGCTGTACCTCATCCCAGGAAAAAAATATTCCCCTGGGTTAATTTTTGGGGTTTTTTTTCAGGAAGTAAGATAGAAGTAAATTCCACCCCAGTTTTTCTTCTCTGCAACTACAAAATTCAGCAAGCACAGGAAAGCCTCTCTCCTTAGAGGTGAGTGCAACACTGGACCTTGCTAGGAAGCATGGATCTGGTTAGCACAGTATCACCTCATAGAGCCTAAGATTAGACCAACTGCAGTGCCTATTAGCAGCAGAAGTTTTTTCAATTTTACTTTATATGTTTAAAGAAAACAGGAGAAAGCTAGAAACCAGCCCAGCATCTCAAGTTACAGGATTCACAGACAGTATTTTAATCCCTTCCCTAGCTGGAAAAGCCATTTGAAGCCACCATCAGCAGATAACTACAGACTGTAGGATGCAGCACAGCCATCACAACACTGAGCTTTGAGAAATGCTTGCAGTCCATTACCTGTGTACACAGGAGGGGAAGGGGCTGACCAATCTGCTAAGATTTCCCTAAATATCCACCAAAAAAAAACCAAAATAACCTTAATACTTACATGCTAAAGAGGACTGGGAGCTGAAAGCCTTTTTCTCAGCTTGCCTTCCAGAATGGTCTCGCTGAGGCAATTGCTGTGCACCCACCAGCACTTCTGCAGCTCCTTCTCCACCAAGGAGCCCAACCTGCTCTTGCAGCCTTTAGAAAAATCACTTCACCTGATTTTCATTACAAAAATCACTTCACCTGGTCCTACGGCTGCCACTTCAGAGTCAAGTCCCACAGCTGCTTCTGGAACCACTATGGGAAGCAAACCCATCCATAACAGATTCTTACTTCTGTGAGTTTTTTTTTCCCCTCAAGCAATATACAGTGGTTTTATGCCCATGTACACTGCTGAGGAAAAGGTTTTACTAGAATCTGGTAGAAAGATGATCACATTCACAGGGCTTACAGTTACTAGCTCTGAAACTACAAGCTTAAATTTTTCATAAAAATTTAGGATTTTAAACTTTGTATTAGAATTTTTGCTACAGGTATACCTTCCAGGAAGGTTCAAGCAAAAACTCAACCTTCTGGTCAAGAGGAAAAAGGAAGATACTTCTTGTTACTAGTTTCTGTTATGTAAGTCCATAATGCCTCAACAGACACTTTCAAAAGCAGACTTCAGTCAACAACTCAAGCCCTTCACACTGATGCACAGCAATGAAACACAATCATGTTAAGTATTCCCTAGTCGTGTGCCAAGGCAAGAATTTTCCCAGACTCTTGTACCATTGTCTATTCAGTTTGTGACTGTGTGAGTCTGTGTCTGTACATGTAACTTCTGCTCCTGGCAGCCTACTAAAAACCAGACGACGTCATGATTTAGAACACTGTTTGCTGATTCATTGGAGTTGTGTTTGTAGGACATGTAGCAGAACTTGAGCAAAAGAGGGTCATGGTTAGTGGAGGGGAGTGCTAGACAAATACCACCTGGTAAATCATCCAGCATGACTGTCCTCACTGAAGAGAAAAAATAAACAGATAAAAATAGAGCTTAGCTGCTTCCCACAGTCCGCTTTTCTGTGCCGCTCACCCTGACATTCCCACTACAGCTTTTCCCCAGTTTCCAGTACTCATCTCTCACTCCATCAAGTGACCAACTTCAATTTTAGCACTGCATTGGTACTGTAATGATATGTACCCACACCTCAAAACAAACCCCAAATCCCACCTTCCTCAAACACCATCCACCTTTCCATGGATTGCAACAGGAATAGAATGGATTCTTTATAGCTGCCTATGCTCCCAGCATTATTTACTGTTAACAAAACCTGTTTCACACCTAGTGCATTGTGTGAGGGCACATCCACAGCTTCCTTCCCAGAAACGTGTCTGCAATAACATCGCGGTGGGACTCAGCTCCATGAGTTGCCCTGTAAGCAAGACTCATACCCTTCCTTTTAGAGATTTTTTGTGTGTGTGTGTAGGTCAGTTAAGAAAGGCAGCAGCAGACTTTTGCAAAGTTGCCCTGTAAGCAAGACCCACACCCTTCCTTTTAAAGTAGAGATTTTTTGTGTGTGTGTGTGTGTGTGTGTGTGTAGGTCAGTTAAGAAAAGCAGCAGCAGACTTTTGCATCGCTGTCAGAAACACACTTCTGATAATCAACTGTGATCTGCAAAAGCAGGGGGACAGGTCAGTAAGCCTTCACTTTTTCTAGGTTTAATGGGTGCTCCTTCCAGTGCCACACACCTTCTCCTCACCTTTATTCTCCTACCCCTACCAAATCAAGAACACATCCACACCTTCGGTTTTTTTGTTAGCATGTAGGCAGAAATATCTTTAACAGGGATATAAAGGTTTTTAATGTAAAGAAATAAAACACTTAAGCCCAAAATGAGCTTTCCTGAAAAATATTTTAGCTAGCAATCTGTAAAGCTAACTTTCAAATTCCAAATTTGCTCCTGGAAAAGAGGTCTATCTACAGTCAATTCCTGATAATAACTCAACAAATTAAACTTTTCCTAAAAGCTGTGAAGTTTTGTGAAGTTTTTCAGAAGGCATTGTATGACAGTAAAGAAACAAAAATCCATTCCTGCAATTGGCTACAAATAACAAAACCATGAACAGACTCTCAGTACTTAAATCTGTTACATAACTACTTGTATAAAAATATTTTATTAGTTTTCTGTCAGTAACATAGAATAACTAGAGAACTTCTTCTGTGGACACAGCTTTATGGAGGACAATCATCATGAGCTCCTACAGCCATCTGAAGCCAGTAGTCCAGATTTCTAAAAATGACAAAGTTGTACAAGTTCTCTCCTCCTTTGTGGAAACCATGTTCACTTTCTCTCCAGGAAACAGGGCTGTCTGCAAAGCCATGCACAGTTAAGGTCAGCCAATATGCCAGTTTTGGTTCACCAAAATAGCAACTGCAAGCAAGAAGACAAGATAATCAGTGATCATAATGGAATAGGCAGCACATTCAAGTCTACAGTATAAAGTAAAACAATCAAAGACACACTTCAGTGAAAATTTATTAACAGTTAAAAAATTTAGTCCATAATAAATACACTTGAAAGAAAATATTCAGAATACATTAGGGAACAAAATAAGATTAACTGTTATTCCTATCATAGTTTTATATATGGCAAATCTGCCAGCTGTAGCAATTAGAAAAAGTTCTAAGTTATAAAGTAGCAGTTCTGACTTTCCTACAGCATGCACTGTCTTTCAGAAAATTGAAAATTTAATGAGAACAATTGCTATCAGGGAAGAAAAAAGACATTGGAGGAAGTAAAGTAGTTTAAGGCTATGCTTGACAAAAATACTTTTACCATCAGAGAGGAAATAGATTATGAATAATGAAAGCCAGATACCATCCAGTCCACATACAACCAGGAGTACCATACAGCCAGTTTCTTAGAAATTCAGATAAAAACCAAAGTCATGCCTACAATACAGGGCAGGTTTTTTCAAATTCAAGGCATTCAAAATTTTCTATTACATTTTATAGTGACGTCAAGCTTCCAGCTCATTTCCTAATTAAAACAAAAGTCTACATTTATATATTTTGCTATTTCTTTCCAACTTGAAAGTATTTAAACGTGATTTCAAATAAGAAGTGTTTGAGTACAAGTGCTATAGTAATGTGCTCCTGTCAGTCCTTACCACAGCTGCTCCAGTAACTGAATAATCTTCTCAGGAATTATAAAGCCTGTGATTGTGCACAAAAAAGCTTTTTCCACCACTGTGTTGGGCTCAGGGCAGCAATAGGTTGATAAGAAGCTGGAGGATTTGTTGTCTCTGGAAGAAAAAACAATGAAGTAACTGAAATAAATATGCTTTAAATATTCTATAGGATGTCTTAGTAATCAGAACTTGTACCAAACAAGTAGGATCCATGTATATCATCTAAATTAATGCCAAGTAACTAATGACCAAGAAATCAATACCAAAGATCTCATGGTGCTGTGGGTTAACCCTGTAAGCACCCAAACACCACACAGCTGCTCCCTCACTCACTCCCCCCGGAACCAAAAGGGTAATGGGAGAAAATGCATGGATTGAGATAAAGACAATTTAATAAGCAGAGGAAAAGTTCCACATGAAAGCAAAGCATGCAAAGGAATTAATTTAGTACTTCCCATGGGCAGGCAGATGTGCAGCCATCCCCAGGAAGGCAGAGCTTCTAACTGACTTGGGAAGACAAACACTGGAACTCGGAACATTTCCCACCCATCCTCGTCCCAGGTTTTGCTGCTGAGTGTGTCACCACATCCCATGGTGTGGGACATCTCTCTGCTCAGCTGGGCTCTGCTGTCCTGGCTGGCTCCTGCCCACCCCCCAGCCTCCTCACTGGCCAGGCCATAGGAGAGACAGAAAGAGGCCTTCAGACTGTGCAAGCCCTACCCATCAATAGCTAAAATATCCCCTGTTACCAACACTTAGTCACAAATCCAAAGCACAGCACCACACCAGTTACTGCAAAGAAAATTAACTCTATCCCAGCCCAATCCAGTACATATGGGTACCCCTAAAACACCAAGAAAGTCATTCAAGACTTAAATAAACACTTAACTGCACAAAAGACTCTCACCTACAAAACAGTGTCTGTCTTAATTTTTATTCAACTATTTCTTAAAATAAATTGTGGCTTTCCTTACTTAAAACATTTTCAAAGATCAAACAAATTCAAATACTTACAAGCTAACTTGATTCAAGACAGCACCCAGCCATTCAAAGAGCTCCTCTGTACTGCAGGACTCCTCCGGTTTTCCTTGCAGATCATTACTTTGTAACACTGGACACTGCAAGTCCCTTAAGGTGCTGAATGTTATTTTTGGCTTCAGGGCCTGTATTTGGTTTTTTGAAAAGTATGACATCAATGTTGATCCCTCTGCACCTTAACAACACAGTACCACAAACAGCTGTTACAAAACTACTAAACAAAAGAAGCAGTAAATACATGAAACATTTGTATATAAACATAAAAATGCAGCGTGAAACTGCTTGTGTGCTTTTAATCCATGGCAGAACCTCAAAATCTTCAGCTCCCTTGTCGTCTTGGAAATAAAAGTTAGTGCAAAATTCGGCAAATTAATACAGCTCAGTAAATTTGCTATCTAACTACAAAGTGTAGATTTGCCAATAGAAAATTCAAGCAGAATTAACTGCATAAGTAATAAAATGAGCTTGTTAAAAAGATGAACTCAGAGTATTCTTGAAAAGGAACAGATAAAATGAAGCAGGGATGTCATCAGAACAGCGTTTTCCCTGAATAATGGAAAAGTGAACATGTGATTAGAGGTTTAAGGACAGATTTATCAATGATGCCAAGAGAAATTCCAAAATAATCTGGAGTATAAAGACTGAAGACAGAAGAAAAAAGAGAGGGTAAAGAAATCAAAATACATCACCAATGTCACTTTACTAGAAGAATAAACTCACCCCTACTCTCCTCTCTCCAATACCTCTTCAATGCAGTATGGCTGTAAGAATTAAATGTACCTTGATGGACTTGTGGGAAAGCACTAGTAAGAGACCCAAACCAGCAGGTACCTAGACTAAAAAACTAACTTAAGCAGGCATATTTTAAATTCAGAGATATTACCAACTTGCTTTTGAAGCAGGAAGGTAATTGACATGGAATAAATTCTCCAAAATTTCAAATCCCAGATAATGTGTGCTATTTTCAAAAAGCAACAATGGGTGCCTAGGAGACCAAGAAATAATGCCTTACTCATGAAAAGTCTGATGTGCAGATGAACACCCAAATACCACAGAAAAGGCACGTGTAAACAGCAGAAATTCAAGAACAGGGTAGAGTTCACTGTGGAATACCATATCTAAAATTTCCTATCAGAAAATATGGACTGCCTAAAGTCTATCAATCATATTTATGTCATCAAGGACAATCATTTGGGGGAGTAGAAAAAGGAGAGTTAAGCTCATTTTTTCAGTCATTCTTCAAAAAGAGGTTGTTCCAAAGGGCATAGTGACAAAGACAGGCAGTCATTGAATTCTTCTTAATTTAGTATTTTTATACAGATGTATTTAAGTATGAAAAGTGCCAGAAGAGATGATCTTCCTTACATTCTATTGGCATTTGTTAGCCTAACAGGTTCAAATAATGTATCATTTTGCCCTAGAATTCCTAGTGAAATATAGAAAATCATACATTTTACATGTCTGCTGCATGTGGGAGTCTCAGCTATGACCCTAAATGCAGGAAATCTCAAAGATTACAGTCAGACCCTAACAGAACAATTCCTCTAGCTACAGGACAGCTTTCTATGTTAACAGGAACCAGGCACATCATCAAAGCTCTTCAGAAACCACCGAATTTCATCCAATACAATAAACACGTAAAATTGTGATAGAAATTACAACAATAGAAAAAAGATTGTATTGCCTCTGTCATTAAAGACATGAGATGCTTTTCCTGTTCTTCTTGGTGCCAAAACCACAGTGTGGGAAAACTGAGTATGAAAACCAAAAATCCTGCAGTGCTGGCCATAGCAAGAAACACCAGATATCAGCAGGAAGGCTGAAAGCAGAATATTCACAGAGGACACAGATTCTCTCGACAAAACACAGCCCACTTTTTCCCTTCCAGCAGAATCTACAAAATGTCTCATATCTATTAATAAAAACCTATAAATGTTTTATTTTTGTCAGTACTAAGGAACTAATAGTCTTTTGTGTGTTATGAGCACAAGATTCTTGCACAGAAATGCATTCAGATTTAACTCCATATTCAGGAAATTATTGACCTGACCTGTTTTGGGGATGTAAGAAATTGAGGAAAAAAATGCTATTCTTCCTGAATGCTGTTAGCATGGTCAGCAGCAAACATATGACAAATAGTGGCCCTAGAGGCATTTTGCTCTCTGTCCAGGGTCAATAAATCCAAGCAAGCTGAGCGTGAAGATCTGCCACCTCAGTTGGATTTATGTCACCATTTATGGTAGCAACAGCCTTCACTGTGACTCTTTCCTGAAGATTACAAGGACGGGAATTGCAAGCCTTTAAACAATTTCTGTGTGACAAACAAGGAAGCATCCTTGTCATGTGATTAGTACTTAGAAAGGGGGAGGGGAAGCATGAAGGAATAAAGTGAAACATGGGACACTCCTAAAGGAGCTTGTAAACAGCTTCCATTTCTCATGAGTTAACTCCTTTTCACACTTGGCCTTAAAGAGCCAGGAAAAATGAACAATACAAAGAGGAGATGGGAAAGCATTCTCAGGGACCTTTCTAATATCCTTTCTCCCTAGTGTGAAGACTCAAAGCAAAACAACACCAGAAGTTACACATCTGTGATGAAGAAAACCATGTTTTTCAGTACAGACACTTGCAGTTTTCATGAGTTCTATGCAAATGCTACATAACCCTACATAAAGCCTGTTCTGAGGTAATAAAAACAACTGGGGACTTAAAAAGTTTCCCTCAGAGGAGGAAATATCCTTAAGTCCAGAAGAAAAAATAAGTGTAATTAGAAAACAGTAGATAAACAAATAATAGAAGATCACTTGAAACAGTACAATTTCTTACAGCAACCTTTTACTTGGCTCCAATCTCAAACAAGTGCTTGAGAATACAGTGATCAAACAGCAGTCTGTGTATCTGGGCACATGATGTAAACAGGGAATCTGTACATGTCCTGTAACTACTGAGGAAACCAGAGTTCCCCATCCTAAGTATGTAACTAGACACATAACTTATGTGTTTTAATTAAAAAAATACAATCAAAAAAAAGAGTATTGATCATGGTTACATATGTCACAAATTTATAAAGAAGAGGCAGCACCATCAAACAGGCAAAGTTTTGCCAGAAAGCCTGGGCAACATAGAGAAAGGAAATGAAGCAACTAATCTATCTCCTATGAATCACTGTTGTGCTCCTGAACGGAGATGTTCTGTGCACAGGAAGTAACACGCTCCCCACCCCAAACAAACAAACCAACCAAACAAAAAATCCCACCCATACACATTTTAATCTAACTTTTCCCTCCACTGAAAATGCATTTGGACAATCACTAGAAAAAAAACAGTAAACTAAAAATATTTGGACTTCATGTCAGTTGCATTTTAGTTTTACTTTTAGTTCTTATTTACCTGTATTATACCAAGCCAGTAGAAAGTCAAATTCTAAAGGTTTCTTTTCTTTCAAGGCCCAAAGCACTCTGTTATGTTTCTTGCTCTCAGGGTGAAAGCCAGCATCAGCCAAATCAATAGTGATAACTGCAGAAAATACACAATAGCTATTGGCACCTAATTAAAGTTGATTATTAAATTAGAAAAGCACAAAGAAACCAAAGAACATTAAACTTCCTCTTTACATCTACAGAATCTTTACAAAGTATTTGGTTATGCAAATATGACTCCCCATTATGTAAATACATATTCATCTCCTGCTGTCCTTATTTTGATATAACCTGGAACTGCTTCCTCGTGACTAGAGGGACAGATTCCTCTTGAAATGCCACTGACAGAAGTCCCTTAACGGTGCCTTAAAAGTATCTTGGTAATTAGGCAAGCTATTAGCAGTAAAAAAAAAAAAACAACTAGAATTTCTAACAACAAAAGTCATGTATGCAGCAATGACACTTTTTCAATAGGTTGGTTTTTTCCTAGGTGAATTGTTGATGCATAAGTTATATTTATTTTTCAAATGGAAACATGATGATACATTTTCATGATCAGAATCGTAAAATGAAAAAAAAAAAAAAAAAGAACTAGAATTTCTAACAACAAAAATCATGTATGCAGCAATGACACTTTTTCAATAGGTTAGTTTTTTCCTAGGTGAATTGTTGATGCATATGTTATATTTATTTTTCAAATGGAAACATGATGATACATTTTCATGATCAGAATCGTAAAATGATGTCCCATTTTGCCACAATACTTACTAGAGATAACAACTTTTCCCTTCTAAAGTGTTTTGTAACTACAGCTATCAACTGCCACAAGTTCCAATACATTTGAGATGGCACAGTGTATGTGTTTGGGTTTTTTTATGTCCTAAAAAGACAAATTAATAAAATTCACACTCAAGATGTCTCCTCTGCAGCTGTTAAAAAATTATGATTTTCAAGTACTTGGTACATAGAGATTACCATTTTAGATGTGTGAAACATAGAACAATTCTGTCTTTCAAGCACGCAGCCTTGGGTGAGGCTCTTCACAGTGCATACATTTTAAACACCTCCTTAATCAGTTTAAAATTTTCTGACTTAAATCAGCAGGTATAGACACTGTGCAGAGTATGCAAAAATTCTTAAGTACTACATCACTCAGTAGAAACAACACAATGAGAACCCTTGAAATTAAAAATTTTTATAGAGTACTGAAAAGGTGATGTATCTGTGTCCTTAAAGCTGCTTTACTACTTGGAGAAAAAGTACTTTCTTTCTTCAGACAGTCCTTGTATCTGCATCTGGAAAAACATAACCTAGACAACAACTAATTGTAGTGAAAGGGAAGTTTCAACAGCCCAACAAGGTGCTTGTTTAATAACTCCTGTTTATATAAATACTTACTGTATCGCATTACTTTTTTGCCTGAATACCGAGAAGGGCGACCTTGCAGTCCAAGTTCCTCATAAGTATCCTTATCCACTGACAGAATCAGTTTACCTATAAACAAACCCATTTTTAATACAAATAATCTTCTACTTGGTTCCCTTTGAAGGTTTTTGAGAACTGTACACCTTTTACAATGTTAGCTTTGGATCAATGGTATTACTAATGTAATGCAGACTCCTTAGTTCCAGTTAAATGGATTACCAGATTAATCCTTAAATAAAAAAGGTTATAACTCAATTACTCTTTTTTTATCAGAGGTCTTGTGAACTAGAGTAAGAAAAGCATAATATCATTTCTGAGATAATCATAGCTTTTTGACTGTACTACCCAGTTCATTGTCTCCATCTTTCCTCCACTCATCCTCTAGCACTTGCTGTATCATTAGCTGAGCACTACATTGCACAAGGGCCTGATTTAGTAAACATTCATGCTCAACATGCACTGCTCAACTAAATAAACAAAAGCAGTTCCCCCAAGTCCAGTGGGACTACTCACTCTGAGTAAACTACGCCTGCTAGCGATGAGCTGATGCATGCTGGAACAACGCTGCTTCTGTGCTCATAAACCAGATCTGGCTGCTGCTGCTTGGTACAGAGCTTCACACAGCAGCTCCCTCTCTAACACAGTCCTTGGGTTCCACTGCACAACTAACAGCACAGCACAGAACACAAACAAATAAGACTGCAGAGGAAGAGTTCAGACAGTGACATCACCAGGCGCTGTACCACTGCCTCTGCAATAATTGTGCACAGCTTGTAACACTTGTATCACACAAACTCCATCGCTATCAAGTATCTGTTTTGCCAGGACTGTGCTAACAGACATTTAATAAAATAATTCTTCTGAACAATCTGAATTTACTCATGCCCACATGGGCACCTGTCATATTACAGCTTCTTAGACTGGAGGGCAGATAGACCAGTTTGTATTTCTATTATATCTTATATACTGTTACTGAAATAAGACAATGTAATTGAAGCTCAAAATAGCTTCATTTTCTCACCTGAGATGCGGGACATTTTATGATGTCTTCTCATAAAACTTGGTGCATTTGAAATAGACTTTTAATATGTTACATAGTCCTCGGGGAATCACAGAATCGTCACAGAATCATCAAACAGTTTGGGTTGGAAGGGACAGTAAAGATGATCCAATTCCATCGTGTTACATAGTCCTCAGGGAATCACAGAATCATCAAACAGTTTGGGTTGGAAGGGACAGTAAAGATGATCCAATTCCATCCCATTGGCAGACACACCCTCCAGGTTGCTCAGGACCAGGTTGATCAAAGCCCCATACAGCCTGCTCTTGAACACTTCCAGGGATGGGGCACCAAAATTTCTATGGGCAACCTGTTCCAGGGCCTCACCACCCTCACAGTAAGGACTTTTTTCCTAATATCCAATCTAAACCTACCTTTCTCCAGTTTGAATCCATTTCCCCACATCCCACTACTACACGACCTGTTAAAACTTTCCTCTGTGGTTTGCTTTCAGGCCCCCTTTAGGTACAGGCAGGCACTGTGATTCTCCCCAGAGCCTTCTCTTCTCCAAGCTAAACAACCCCAGCTCTTTCAGCCTGTCCTTACAGGAGAGGTCTCCAGTTTGAATCCATTCCCCCACATCCCACTACTACATGACCTGTTAAAAATTTTTCCTCTGTGGTTTGCTTTCAGGCCCCCTTTAGGTACAGGCAGGCACTGTGATTCTCCCCAGAGCCTTCTCTTCTCCAAGCTAAACAACCCCAGCTCTTTCAGCCTGTCCTTACATGAGAGGTTATCCAGCTCTGTGAGCATCTTTGTGTCCTGGACTTGTTCCAGCAGGTCTGTGTCCTTCCTGTGCTGGGGACCCAGAGTTGAATGAAGTACCCAAGGTGGGGGTCTCATGAGAATAAACACTTAGTATTTTAAAAGTGATCCTAAGCAGTGCTGATAACTTTCCATTTTGGTACAAATTCTGTCTTAAAGACCAGTAGGAAACACGAAGTTGGAATGCAATGTTTTTACGAAGATTGCAGTCCTTGTAAAGATGCCAAAGCAATTATGTAGCAATTGCAATTATGGTTGAAGCACTGACAATCTGACTACACATAAACGAAGCTGATTTTTATTGGTTTTTAATTTCCTTTAGATGAGATAAAAAATTTAACAGCATGAATGAAAAAAGAGAGCTAAAATTAGTATTTTTAGAATTCACATGTATTTCTAACAAAGCTGGCAAGTACAGTAAGCATTATTATCCAGTTTACATCATTCCAAATTTAAAAAAAAAAAAACAGAAAAAATGAAAAAAACCCAGACCACAATTGACACGTATTACTGAAACCAAAACAAATCCTCCATACCATTTGGTAGCAGAGCTGCAGTATTATCTTGATCAATTTTTGTCTTATAGGTAAGTGCGTAGCATGAACCTTTAACAGTAAAGCAGAAAAACATGAGATTACACAGTCTGTAAAGTGAGACATGACAAGATAAACAACTCACTTCAAGACAACCAAACATGACAGACACCATCTGAATCACTCGTGTTTTCATTGACTAACTTTCTTCCACCTTCTCAAGCAAAATGGCATTGTTATTATTTTTATAAACCCCATTCTTACAATATTTTAAAGGACCTATAATAGGGATAATATTAATAATACGCCCTGGTATGAAAACATTTTCTTTCCTTCCACCTGTGAATCTCCCCAGTCATCAAAAGGAAAATCCAATTTTTTCCCAGACATTTTTATTACTCGTTCACCCAAAGACAAGGTGGCTGGGCAGAGGCTCTATCTTTCTTTGCATCCTCTTTGCTCTTACTGGGTAAGGATGAGATGTCACAGCTCTCTTAGTGAAATATAAAAAATAAGGAATCATATTTTTCTCTTGCCTGCTGTGGAACACAGCTCAGCACAGCTCTGTGTTGAAGTATGAAGGAACAAAAAAGGGAGAAGGAAGATTTCTACAAGAATCTGCATAAAAGTGAGGTGTAGAAGAAAGGGGTGTGAGGATACATGGAAGCCCTCTTGATAGCTGGCTTTCAGAATTGAGGTGGAATAGAGAGAAATTTATAAGGAAGAATCACAGGAGTTTTGGATCCAGTGGGTGTAAACAAAGATTGTCACATGTGACAAAGCTGAAAAAAGCATATAAACAAATCATTCAGAATTTGCTTAATACTTTTCCTTTCCTTCCTTTAAAACACTTTCCAGAATAAATAAGAATAAGACTATTAAAAATTTTGCTGTGCTATAACAAAGTACATTATGACTGCATTTGTTCAGCTCTGATTTCCTCCTTACCTTTCTTCACAAAAGCATCAATGAATTCATGAGCGACCAATTCATGAATGGGTAAATTCCTCACCAGGTAGTACTCTCCAATATCTGCAATTGTGCTTTTCAGAACTTCAGGTAGCATGCCACATTCCGGGATCAAAAAAGACACCTATTAGGAACATATTTGTCATGTAAAACCTATCCTAAACCTGTTCTGAAAAAACCCCAACCAAACAAAACAACAAGAAATACAAAAGAAAACTTCTACTTTCCAAAGATGTATCAGTATATTATGTCAAAATGAGATGGAAAAAAAGTAGTATCAGGCTACTGTCTTCAAAATGTATCAATTTCCATAGTCTCTAGGTACACTAAATACATTATTTGGTGGTTTGAGTTTTGTTTGGTTTTTGGTTTTTTTTCTTTCGTTTTTTTTTACTGCTATACAATAGCATTTGATGTGTTATGTAAAGACATGATCTTACACAGCATGAGTTAACAGAAGATCTCGTTTCACATCATTATACATTTAGCTTGATGTTGCACTGGGACACCTCCTTCAGCTCTTGCTGGAGTACTTGATGAAGCAGCTGTAACTAAAAATGTAGGCTAAACATTTCTGTAATCTTAGTGCAAAAGCAAAGACCAAAGTAGAATCTTCAATTTACCTTTCACTTAAAAGCTTCCCTGTACATGTTCCATAGACCAAGAGAACCCTGAAGTCTGGCAGACCAGGGAAAACAAGGTAATATCTGCCAAGTAATAGATGGGCAAGTATGAAGCTTCCTGTCTCCTTGCTCCCCCTTCCATCCCCAAAAAAAACTTCTTTCCCAAAGCTCTTGGAGAACAGGTGTGTATCTCCCTTGGCACACCTGTTCAAGGGAAGTGAGGACTGACAAACGAGCTGCCTTCCACACCAGTAGAAACTTTTCTGATTACTTGCTAAAAACGTCTCAGAAGTCAGAAACAGTTAGCGATTAGCCCAGAAACTTACTTACAGGGTATGAGCAGAGGGTTATGAAACAGGGTCCTGCCTGATTGCTGCAAAATGTGGAACACCTACAAATTTTCTTAAGGATGTTCTTTGATGTTTGGCCCTTGTACACTTTCAAGCCTAATCAACAAGACGGGAGATTTAATCCATGAAACAAGAGCTCAGCCAACAAGCTTTAAGTGAAGTCCAGGTCTCTTTGTTAACGTTTAGGGCTGGAGATGTTTCAGTGATCTCACACCGAGGGTGAGGTTAACAAAGCTCAGAGAGAAGGATGTACCACTGATACTGGACAGAAAGAACACAGAATTTACAGGCCACAAAGACATTCGGCAGAACTCCCAAAATAAGTAAGAAACTTAATAAACCCAGCAACTCTGCTGAATCAGCTCTAAGTGGATAAAAGGCAGCTTTGACAGGTGGAGAACATGGCCACGGACCCCAGAAACTCCCTGACTCCTAAGCAGAGAAACACTGAGCACGCGGATTAATCATTTTGACAGGTGGAGAACACAGCCACCGACCCCAGAAAACTCCCTGACTCCTAAGCAGAGAAACACTGAGCACGTGGATTAATCAGCATGGGAGACTCATTAACCAACAGAAGATAGAATACTAATTAAAAAGAGAACTATGTAACTTGTAGCCAATGAACACTAATTCCTTTGTTTGTTAAAATGTATAAATAGTGAAAAGCTTTGATAGGTGGTGTGCTTGACTTGTGGAAACCCCGCCTTGCACCTTGCATGGAATAAACGCTGTCCCCTTTCTAAACTGGACCCTGCGCCTGTGTTTAGAGAGCTCCTAAAATCGGCACCACCACCCCTCTGCTCCTGGAGAAAAGAAAGAGTTTGTTTCTCCCATGGTGCGCGAGAACACAAACGCAAAGGGGCTAATTTGTTGGGGGTTTTTTTTGTTTTGTTTTGTTGGTTGTTTTTTTGTTGTTTTTTTCTTTTTTTTTTACCATATTAATGATTACATTTAATGAAAACGGGGGAAAAAAGGTCAAAAATACCATCTCAGAAACTTTTATTAGAATTGTGTTCTGAGTTAAATTGTCGGGGTTATTTTTTTTTTTTTTTTGTTTTTTTTTTTTTTTTTTTTTTTTTTTTCCCTCCCCAAAAACGAGGCGCGCATCCTCTGGCAAGGACGGAGGAGCCCCCACAGAACACCCAGCTTGGCGCGAGCGGCGCACCGGCAACGCGCCCCTGGAGCGGCGGACGGGCAGAACCCCCGGGTCGGGCGGCGTGGGCAGCTCCGAGCCTTCCCTTCCCTTCCCTTCCCTTCCCTTCCCTTCCCTTCCCTTCCCTTCCCCGTCTCCCTGAGGGGGTCCCTCCGGGGCCCGCGCTCGCGCCACTCACGCGGCAGCTGTAGGCGTGGTCCCGCACGTGCGCCGCGTGCCGCGAGCGCGGGTGGCGCGCGTGGCCGCGCTCGCACACCAGCAGGTGCCGCGGCGCGCGCTCGAGCTGCGCCGGCAGCATCCCGGATCCCGCCCGCCTTCCTCCTCCTCCTCCTCCTCCTCTGCCGCCGACCGGGAGCCGCCAGACGCGGCGAGGAGGGCAGGGGAGGGGCCGTGCCGTGAGGTCACGTCCGCCGGCTCCGGCGGCGCAGCCGCTTCCGCTGTGGCGGCGGCGGCGGTGCCCTGCCCAGCGCCGGCGGCCGCTCGGGGCTCTCGGTGCCGGCGGGCTCTGGGCAGCCCCGGCACGGATCGGACACCGACCCCCACAGGGGCTGGGTGCGCCGAGTGCGCGGTGGTTTAAGCTCGGCGGTGGTTCAGAGCTGGAGAGGGACCTTTTCCAAGAGCCTGGGGTGACAGGACAAGGGGCAACGGCTTCAAACTGAAAGAGTGTAGGGTTATATTAGACATTAAGATTAAATTCTTTACTGTGAAGTTGGTGAGGCACTGGAACAGGTTGCCCAGAGAAGCTGTGGATGCCCCATCCCTGGAAGTGTTGAAAGCCAGGTTGGACAGAGCAAGCTGCTGTAGTGGGAGCTGTGTGTGCCCGTGGTGGAGGGGCTGAGCTGGATGAGCTTTGCTGTCGCTTGCCCCCACGCCGTTCCCTGGCAGCCGTGCGGGCTGAGCCGGGCCCGGGCGCCTCAGGCCGCTCCGCCCGGGTGGGCGGGCACCGCACCGCGGCTGCGGCCCGGCCTCGGCGGGCCCTCCGCTCCTTCTGCTCGGCCTGTGTTCCGCACAAAGCATTGTGGAAAACGCCAGTCACTTGTTTTTGAAATTTTAAAAGTTTAATAGTAATAAAGTAGTTATAAAAATAATAATGTAATTAGAATAATAAAAACAGCATGCACCAACGTCCCGGCTTCTCCGCCTTCCTGCAGGGTTCCTTTTGGCGTTCCCCCGGCTTGGTGGCTCCCGCTTTAATGTAAAATGGCACCAAGAAACTTTCTGGGTAGCTGCTGTTCCTGTAGCCAGCACAGTCGCTAAGTGCAGCGTTTCTGGCTCGCTGGGCGGGCTCAGCCGCCCTGGTGTCAGGGCACGGGCTGTCCGAGTGGCCGTGTGCCGCAGGGACACCGGGACACCGGGACACTGCTGCTCCCGGAGCTGTGTGTCCTGCCTGCCCCGAGGTGAAGCCGCGCCTCGGCAGGGCACGGCTCCTTCACGCCCTGCAGGAGGGCTCAGTTCCGCGCTGCCCGTATAAATCGGGTTTATTGCATTATTGCGAATCAAAAAAGGGCTGTGTGATCACGATCACAGGAGCCTTGCGGGCGCGCAGGCGTTCCTGGGGAGGGCACGACATGATGAATGTCACTTGTTGTCACACCCGCGAGCAGGAGCCTCTGCGGGCGGGCGAGCCTCGCACTGCGGCCATCAGAAAGCCTGGGCTACTACGGGGGTGAAAAGTTCAAGCCTCTGATCAATAAGCCCAGAGAGTCGGGCAGGAAAATTCACCTACACTCAAAGCAGCATGTGGAGGGTTTTTTTATTGTTTGTTTAATTTTTTTTTTTTTTGGCGGGGCCCCTGTTTTTGTGAGGTGTGTTGGGTCTTCTTTATGCTAATACAATTTATGCTTTCTGCTGGGGAAGGGAAGAGAATTGAAGAAAAAATATGGATGGGAAGAGAACTGAGGAAAAAATATGCTGGGGAAGGGTCAAGAGAGTCAAGATTCATGGTTCCATATTCAGTGTTAAGTCCATCTTTTATGGATTCTGGCAGGAGTGCAGCTCACTGCAGCGCAGTGGAACACGGAAGGATTTGCATCACTGTTCAGTCAGTGTGGTTCATGTGTCAAGCAATTAATTTTAACCCACCCTTAGTTATAGATATTGGCTGCCCTATTATAGAGTATGTGTGTTTTAGAGATCTCCCTGAAGACACTGAACTACATTAAGAAACCCACTTAGAAGTCCAGTAGTCTGTGTTGTAACATACAGAATTTCCTTATCTTTAAATGAGACATAAATCATGTATATATAATTGTGTGTATATACTAATTGTTTGTTAATGCTGACATTTTTATAGTAATTGTTACAGTTTTATGAGTAATTTGGTATGGGATTTCTTTATATTGTAAAAAAAAAAGACCTTTTAAACTTTAAATACTTTAAATAATTTAAGGTGTAAAGCTGTCACAATTTTCCTAAGGATTTCAAGCCCGTGACAGGGTAATGCAGTTTTACAGCAATTCTGTTTCTGCATGCTTCAAGACAGTTACAGGATATAGTAAAGAGGAAAGGATTGCCTTGAGGCATCTTGTGGTAATAAGTTGGAATATGGAAGGATCTCTGAAATACTTCCTGGAACTGGTGAAATTTGATTCTGATTTTGTATAAAATGACTGAGTTTGGAAAGAAAAGTTGGATCTTCACATTATGTACAGTATCTCCTTTTGTGAAGCCCAGCTGCTTCTTGCCTATACTTTTTTCACTATGGAAGAACAATCTTAAATGCTGGGTTTTCTGATTTAAAAAACAACATTATTAAAATACGTAGAGTTTCATTAAATCAAATCTAAACAAGACTTTTGATATTGGTTCGTGTCTTTAAGATGAATCAAAATATTTTTCTTTTCAGTCACTGTTTCTTCTTTCTTAAATAGTGTTGACTGCAGAAAAGAAGGAAGGAAGTTGTCTAAATCTTTTAACCTTGGCCATGATAATTAGTACTTGTCAAAACAGAAACAAACAGGTACCTCTTGTGCTGTGTTCATCTAAAAATAATAAAATGCATAAGACTGAAAACCAGCAATTTACTTGATCAGTGTCAAATGTTTTTTTTGTGGAGGAAAGTGGAAATGTGGACAGTTAGCTTTATACCCTGGTTTTTACACACTTTAGTCCATATATTCAGAGTGGTGATGGACTGTATAAAAGGTCCCACTCAGACTTGTTCTTTAAGGGGCTTACAGACAAAGCTCTGCCAAGCTACTTCCCAAAGCAGCCATTCAATCCAGGAAGATCAGTGAATGCTAACCATGGACCAAGTTGTTTGATTTGGTTTAAAATGCCATTAAAAACTCCCAACCAACCAACCAACCAACCAACCAACCAACCAACCAACCAACCAACCAGTTTTTCTTGGAGTTAAACCCTCGGTAATCTGGGAAACCTCCTACTCACTCAGTTTTGTGGTATTACAATGGTAGAAGAAATGAGAGGAATAATTCCTCCAACCAGGTCCTGGGGAGCAGGAGTGTGTTTCATCTATATTCAAGCAGTGTCATCACCTCCACTTGCCTCCCAAGGATCAGATTTTGTCAGGGCCCTGCATGATACTGGGGAATTTTCATGCACTTTCTCTCTCCTCCTAAACAAGTCAGTAGTCCTTCACATTATGGCTCATATGAGGCACATGTACTCTGTTTTCTATTCACACTTCCTTGCAGTAGGTAACAAACTGGCCATGTTCCTCTGGTTGCCCCTTTATCTGCCGGGAAGCATCCTAGGGAACACTTCCACACCCACCTCGACCTTCTATGGTAATAAAGATGTCCTTGTCCCATAACAAATAGGGAAAATTCTGCATTTTCCATTGCTAAGGTCTCCTCTCCTGGTGTGAAGGTAACAGGCACCATTTCCCCTCAAACTGAATTATCAATTAACACGATGGTGTTAAACTCATTGTAGCAGTTTTGTTCTCAATCTGTACATGATTTTCCCTGTTATATGAGCTGGTGTGCTAAAGGATATTAATTGCCCCTGCAGAAATTGTCTTGATAATATCCTTAGAACACTTTATTTCTAGTAACATTAGTGCTTCTCCTGGGATTGCTGCAGATCACACTGTTACCTTAATGCACCATCATGAAGATACAGAATGCAAAGCAAAGAGAAAATATAAGTAAGCATTCCTTCCTGTTCACACCTTAAAAAAAAAAAAGAAATAAGGTGTCACAGAAATTTAAAGCAGGGTGCATTTTCTCTTAAGATAGGTGCAGAATGCAGAATACTTCCTTCCTGTCACAGCTCAAGCTTCCAGGTTGCTTCAAGGAGAGGATTTGCCGTTTTCACCAATAAATTATTAATATGATTATTATTATTATTAATAATAATGTATTGTAAATATAATTTTAATTATAATTATAATTTCTATAATATATTATATATTATATATAGAATGTATTAGATATACTATATACTATATAATATATAGTATATGTACATATACTATAATATATGATAATTTAAGTATTTATTATATTATAATTAGAAATATAGATAATAAAATAATAAATTAGTAATATTTCTGTTGTTCAATCTTTTGTGTGTTACTGCATGTTATTAATAAGTATTGGGATTGCAAAGCCACTGGCATTTTTCTCTCACTAACACTTCACACCAATCTTGCGTGGGGCTGGCTGCAGCTGTTTCTATGAAGGATGGGAACAAAGTTTCCACGAAGGATGCCAAAGTTTGGCCCTGTGAGTTTAGCACAGTAAAATTTCCATCACCCCTTTGCAACACAACGTCGGAGCCACGTGGCTGCTGGTTTGAAGCGCAGCGAGGCTGGAGATGGTGCTGGCAGAGGAGGAAAGGCACAGGGAGAGGAGCCTGCTCTCTCAGCCAGCTGGGAGCCTTTCTCTGTGGCTGGATGGAGAGTTTGCCTCAGCCACCCTGCCTGCACACAGGTTCTCAAAATGCAGTTGCTGGAGTGCCTGCATTCACGATTTCTCTCCCTAATATTACCTACAAAATCAAGCAACAGAAACTGTGTAGTATTTAAAATAACCGAAGATGAAAAAAAAAAAGACCAAAACCCACAAACAAAAGAAAACCACCTTCCTTGGTAAGAGTAATATTTTCAGCAAGATCTAAATGTTTAAGGACCAGAGTGGCATTACCAAAAGTTTAAATTAGAATTGTTCATTTTATTCATTTGAGCCAGATTCAAAGTTTCAGCCTAGAAGTACACTAAAAATATTCTCCCTGCCCTCACCTTCCAACTGTGCTGATATTAAACTGGCTCATAGGAACAATAGAAGCAAGTTTTGTTCAGGAAATATTTAAAAGTCTACAT